GGTCTGTTTCTCAAGCCACACTATAAAAGAGCCACATGAAGTTCACAAGCTGCAGTCTGGTCACCCCTGCCCTATAACTAGTAAACATTATAATTCTTGAATTTTTTGTTCTGCATTTTAGTTCAGCAACTAGGCAGTTCAATTAAAGGAATATGGTCCATCTGATTTATGTCTTGCCACCTTCCTCCATGCTACCATTTTACATATAACATTAATAATCACACTGTCCTTGTTCAATTCTGTTCTTAAAATTCCCTGTTTTTTTAAAAAACCTATCTCTGAATCATAGTACATTCTTTTATCTATTAAAAATATTTGTAAGTTTATCAAATCAAAGTGTCTGGTACAACCAGTCTTTAGCCTCTGCTCTTGGCAGGAAATTACTGCCAGGCTACTAGGATTTATTCCCCTAATTCTCTTTTTCTTTTGCACACCCTCCATGTATGTTGTCCTTGGGTTGGACTTAAGAAACAAGCTTTAGTTTGGAAGCTTTTCTCTTGACAATGCGTGAGCTATAAAACGGACCTGACCCCTGCCCAAAAGTGAAATAAACCAGTCTATTTTTGCAGACCAAATAGACTATACTACAAAAATAAATAAAATGTATTAATAGATTATCAGTCTTCCAAAATGAAAAAATGGAGCAGCTGGTGTATATGTTTAACAATCATTTGTCTTCTCCCCTAGAAACAGACTCCCAGTACTACCAATTTGAAGCATTCAAAAACCATGTCAGGCCCCCCAAAATCAAATTTGTCTTTTTTAAAAATTACATTTTTAAAGTAATAGAGGAGGAGGGAGTGTATTTACCTTTAATTTTTTGAGTATTTAGGATTCACATTTTCAAGCTTTCTATGTCAAACATCAGCTAAAACTTTATTTTTAAATGAAGGCTGAGATTCTTAGGACTCCTGGAGATGGGAGTTTTGAAAGAAGCATTATAACAAAAGATGAAATTACTATCTTTGTTATACAATGTCCTGCTTTTTCCTCATGTATGGATGAGGCAGAATAGCAAAACAGATGTCTGCACAGACTGGGTCACTAGAGGCCGGCACACCAATTGAACCACTGCCCAGAGTCAGAGCAAGTAATTCCATAATAATCTGATCTTGCAGCAGTGGACTCATCTGTTGGGTG